GTAGACACGTTTGCAATTTTGAGAGTCTGTCGTGGGCACTGTCACAAAAAGACTGCCTTGGAGGAAGGCCTAATAATTCATAAAATGGCACCCATGATGGGCATGACCAGTCATCACTCACTCATTTCCCAGAGAGCAAACAGATGAGATTTAAACAAATTAACTTGTCCAAGAATTGCAGTACGAGGCAGGGGTGGGATTGAGCTCCAAAACACAAATTCCTTTTCAACTAAAATGAAGATGATGTGGGAGGGCAGCCTTTTGCTTTGTTGCACAGCAACCTCCGAGATGATTAATATTAGCAGCAATACCCTTAAGAAAATAAAAGTCAGGAGGGGAAGAGTCACCAAGCGAGTGTCCAGGGGCAACACACTGGAGAGCCCAGTGCTAGAAAAACAATATTTAGGATGATTTACAAAATGATTAAAGGTGAGCAGTCTAAGTGATTGCTGATGAGAATTCCCCTGAACTCAGGGGTGTCCAATCATCCAGTGCAAGACAGGAAGAGTGGTGGAGGCAATGTTTGCTTCTTCATCCATCTGTCCTACAAATTCTCTAAACTGGCTACCAAGCAAAGGAGAGGAAAAAAGGCTGGAAGAATCTCAGAATGACTCACACCTCTCACACTAGAACACCCCCTCTCCCCTTCCTGAGGTCGCTTTTCCGACCTCAGAGGGCAGCTGACGTGGTTCTTTCTGAGCCAAGGGTGCCGAAGAATGGGGGACCAGAACCCCCACTGAAAAGTTATGCACAATTTTCAAAACGTGTCCCAAATGTCATAAAGGTGCCTGCTCAAGACCCCTCTTTTCAGCCCAAGCCAAGCTAGTCTGGGCCACAGTCCTGAAATAGCTGTGAATGCTGGAATATTGTTTTTGACTTGCCTTCATTTGGTTCCCAGTGAAGGGCAAATTGTGTTATGTCCCACAGGGACTGCTCCCACCCCTGTGCAATTTCCAAAATGTCGAAGAATGAACTGAGCATGTGTTTCCTGTCCAACTAGGCACACGAAGCTGCCTTATAAAAGAACCGCTGGCTCGATTAGGTCATTCTGCTTCTGTCCAAGGACGGCAAGATTCCCGGCATTGCCCAGGAATCTTGCATAAGAGCCACTGATTTGCTACCAAAGCTACATGATCCAGAGGGAGCAGCCACTCAGGGTGACTTTAGATTTTTACATTTCTAGATTTCCACTTAAAGTCAATGAAAAAGCAGTACCAGAAAGAGAGCCCTCGTTTCCAAATCACAACAAGGACTTGTTCTACTTTACTCTGCATTGATCAGACATTATCTGAAGTACTGCATCCAGTTCCGAGTACAACATTTTAAGAAGGATGCAGAGAAATTAGAGCTGGTTCAGCCGAGGCTGAGGAAGAGGGTCAATGGTAAAAGAACTTGGTTGAAGAAAAGAGGGCTCAGGGCCAAAATGGACTTTATTCATGTATTTAATATGCTGTCCCTTATGCATTGCGTCTCAGGACGAATCAAAATATGATAAAACAATCCAGTATAATAAAGAACATATAACCAGTAAAATAAATTAAACCAAAAGTGACTGTTAAAACATTAAGATACTAGTTTTTAAAATAACGATTGAATAAAAAGGTTCTTTGAGACACAGGTGGTGGCCGAGTCCCTTTCTTTTGCTCTTTTCTATTTACTGCAGAGTAGTCACAGAAGACCTGATCCAGCCAGGGGTGGGTGAGGGCTTCAGACCCTCCCTCCTCCACTAAAGGGTCAATCCAGATCATTCCCATGCCTGAAACAGTTACAACAGAGCAATCTGTTTGCAATGAGAGATGATGATAGCATTCTTGAAATAAGGAAAGTGCTGTCACACATAGAGCAATTGACCCATGAGGAGATCAAAGAGGAGTGCAGATTTCATAGGGGCAATTTGGCAATGGAACCAATGGTGTGGGGTTGGTGGGCTTTCTCTTGCTGGAGTTCATGAGGCAGGGGTTAGATAGTCCTCTGTTGGAAATACACCAGCACAGGCATTCCTGCACTGAGCAGGAGCATGGATGAGACACCCAACAAGATGCCTCCAACTCTGACCAAGCTATGATTCTCAACAGGTCACTCTGTGTACTCCTAGCATCACACACTAGAGGGAGCTTTGCTGTCCTTTATAAGTACACATTTGTAAGGTCCAGTATTTGTTATTATGTGTCTCTGACTTATGGAGACCCTATGAATGAAAGTCATCCCAAGCGTCCTATCCAGGACAGCTCCAATCAGCTCTCCTAAGTTCAAGGCTGTGGCTTCCTTCGTGGAATCAATCCATCCCCTATTTGGTCTTCCTTTAAATCTTCTGACTGCACAATGATCTTCTCCAGGGAGTCTTCCCTTCTCATGATGTGCCCAAAGTAGGACACCATAGTTCTGTCATTTTTGCTTCTAGGAAAAGCCATGGCTGGAGTTGACGTAGGTCCCACTTGCTCATCTTTCTGTCATGTCAGAGTATTTACAAAGCTCTCCTGCAGTGCACGTATACACCCAACCTAACCACAAATTAAGGCACAGTCCTGCCCACATTTCAACAGAAGTCCTGTAATTCCTTGGCTGACTGGGGCAGGTTGGCAGTTGCTGGATCCCCCCCCCCCTTTTTTTTTGTTTCAAAACATGCATTAGATTGAACTCCTAGTCACTGAATGCTGGAGGGAGGCAGCTTGCAGCCCAGACTGTGAGAGCTTTTGCTCTTTGGACTAACGCTCAGCATAGCAAGTCTTTCAGAATTGCATTCTGTGTCTTGATCAGCAGATGAAGTAGTACTGAGATGCCAAACTAGTGACAGAAAGGACTTTCCACCACAAATGGGTGGGGAATGGAGGGAGATAATATTTTTGGATCCCCTCCTGTGCACTAAGTGAACGAATAGGAATCTCTCTGTACAGTTGCATGAAGGACAGGATAAAACTGCCCTGTTCCAGCTCTGCAAGGAACCATTCCATGGGTGAGAGTGCTCAGGGATGGCCACCCCTACCTGCAGTTCGGAAGGAGAGAAGTCACAACGATCACCTGACCCCGTCGATGTGCTGCATGTTCAGGTAACTGCACAAGCCTACCTCTTTTTTGGCCATACAGACTTCTGGCTACATACTCTAGATGCCCTTTAATACGGATTTCTGACTCCTTGGACCCTCCTGCTGTACTCAGCGTTGCAAATGGAGAACCTGCTTCCTGGAATTTTGGGGCCACTCTCAGCTGCATTCCAGAGTGGTGCTGATGGGGATCAGGGGGCCAATTCTAGGTTTTGAGGGGCTCTCAGGAACTGCCCCCTTGTGAGCACCCTCCTATGCTGTGGATCCCAGGACTCACCTGGGAGCAGAAATGACCAGTGGCTGCTGCCAGCAGTTCCATACAACAGCCTCGAGGTAGCACTGCTCCAGGGCATTGTGGGAACTGTAAATGGCAGCCTGGGAGAGGTGCCATTTTGGGGGATTGAAATGGCAGGTCTCCTAAGGCAAGCATCAATGGACACTCAAGAACACTGCTTTTGTGCTTCTAGGGAAACAAGGGAAGAAGGACAGCAAGCAGCTGTAGCATGCTTAGGATTAGCGGGTTGGGAGGTGTGGGCAGATCGGCAAGGGTTCTCCCCTGCATAGCAGTTCATCCTCCTTCCTAGGCAGCCAGTGACTGTGGGTGGAAAACCCATGGAATCCAGCCTCACAAAATAAGCCCAAATGTAACACTAATTCTGCAGGAGGAGCTAAGCTTCAAAATGAGGTAAAGCACCACTGATTAGTACATGCAGTGAGAAAGCAGACGCTGCACAAGCCACAAGAAATCAAGAATTTGCAAGGAGCCGATTTCTGGATTGCCCAGAGGTTGGCTTTGTTGTCCCTGTAGCTTTCGGTTTAACACTGGAACTTTGGGGTTTACAGCAGCCCAAATCTTCTTAGCTGCATGACTGGGGAGTGTTTGAAATAAGATGGCTCTGTTCATGAAAGGGGGCCGAAAGTCAAGAAACTGACATGGGGATATTAAATTGCGGATGCCTGTTCTGTGACATTCACTGTTGTCATTTATCTAGCAAGTATCTATTTCTACTTACATAGCTGCTTTTGGTTTTGGTTTTTTTAATAGTAATAAAGCTGGTAGGTAGGATAGTGCAGGTCCTCTTGGGATCCAGCCTTCTCCTGTTCACTGCACTTCTTTTCATGAACAGTCGTGGCTCAGGAAGTGAGCCAAGCTGAGGGTAAGTCCACAAATATTTGCAGAGCTCTGGTTGTGCACCTGGCAATATTCTTCTGCAGCAGGTGCAGTGCAAAGGCCACAGGTCATGTGGTGTGTGGAAGAAGGACACTACCTGCACAGCGTTCACATCTGATTTGAGTCCTGGTGGGCACCTGTGTGAATGCTTGGCACCAAGGTGGACTCAAGGCTGTGAGAAAGCGAACCAGAGCCCAGGGAGCTGAGCTAAGGGGATCTGATGGATTTCCATCTCCAAAGAGGATTCCTCACACATCCCTACAGCTAGGCAGTGAATTGTTACTTTAAAAAATTTAATGTTCTTTCAGTTACTTTTGATTTTGTGATTTTGTGTGTTTGTGATTTTTTAATGTTCTCAGACCATCTATCTTGTATTTCTGCACTGCCTTTCTGAAGTCAAAAGTTAAGTAAATTAAAACCACAAGGCAGGATGCAATTTGGCACTAGTTCTGCTTCTGCAAAGTGATACACAAGGAAACATGATTGCGCTTCTCAGCCAACACTACTGGCTTTGTGTTAGGTGTTGCATAAACTAACACAATGTCATTAGAGTTAGCTCTAGTTTCAAACTGGATGCCACCCTCTATCAAAGCCACAGGAAAACAGCCTTCAAAACATAACCATTTAAAAGGCAAATTAAAGAGGAAAGAAAGAAAATGGGGACAGCTCACAACTCCAAAGGGGGCGAGTTCCACTGAGCGAGACTGGTGAGCAACACAAATGCAGCAAGCCACTTTGGACTGAGTGAGGGGACAGAAAGAGAGTTAGGGGTGGCGCAGCCCACTTACTGACGATAAGTTCTCCTCTCTCCTCCTCCCTTGGCTGTGCCGATTGATGAAGGAACGTGCGGAGAGTTTGTAGTGATTCAGCAGACATGTGATGACAACCACCATAACCATCATTACCACCACGATTATGATTATCTGTACAAACTCCAACTCCGCTATAAAGAGAGAGAAAGAAAAAAGAGAAGCCAATGTATTTGGAGGGGTCCAGAAATACAGAAAAGCATTAAATAAATTAGCAAACCTATGTAAAGGTACTTGGTATCACGAAGCAGGTGGAGAAATACCCTCAACAACCCGCAACAAGGAACTCAAAATGTGCAAACTCACAAAGCCTCTGGGAGTCCAGTACAGGACCCTCCAGAAGTTTGGTCTACATTTTCCATCATCCTTGGCCATTAGCTTTCCTGGCTAGAGGTGATGGGAGTCATAGGCCCAAGCATCAGGAGGGCTCCAAACTGCCCATCGCTGACTTGAAGGAACAGAGACAGTGAAGGGCTAACGAGTCCCATAAACTGAGTGCCATCGTTCCCAACCGAACGTGGGTGTGAGAATCCTTGCACTGCCGAAAACAGAAGCCAAACTGAAACACAGTCCGACTGAATTAAAATTAACCAGGTGATGGCAAGATTCAGCCAGCCAGGTTTGGATCTGTCATTCCTTAAGTTTTTGTTTTTTTGTTTTTTTAATTACAGGATCGAATAATACAAGGCTGTCTGGAAGGGCAATACAGACAATAGGTTCTCTGGGGCTTAACTTTACTTCAGATAACGCTGCAAGAATTTATGACAACTGAGCAGGGCTGTCCTGGGCGGGACATTTTGGAGGGTTTTCATACACAGGGTCACCATAACGACTGGACGGCACATAGCAACAACGATAAAGCTGCACGAACTCTAGGTTACAGAATCCGTGACATCAGAGACACAGCTTGCTTTGTTAGAGCTCCACAGACGAACACTTCCTGGGTTCAAGCAGTGGGTCCAGCCAAATGGGTCATGCAAAGTTTCATGACTGCCAGTGCGCAATCTGTTTCAACAAAAGGTGATGTAATGTCTGAATCCATTGTAAGCAAGGCTTTGGGTACATGGCCCTTTCGCACTGCCTCATGATGTGTATCAAAGGGAGGACAGTCCAAACCAAAGGAACCATGCTGCTTAACTGGCTTGCACTAGTGGCCTTGTGCCACTCGGTCCTCTGGCCATCAGTGCAACTAGGACAGGACAGAAGGAGATGCAGGCCTCCACTGGCAGCCCTCCATGCCGCTAGCCACGTTCCAGCCGAGCCAGTGAGAAACAATTCTAAGTGCTGTGCAAGCGCGTTGCGTTCCAAGCACAACAGAGTAGGGCTATGCGTCAATGAAGGAACTGTTCGTTCAGCCACCATCTGCAGCAGAGGTGCCAAACGCGGGCATTGCCAGGCACCTGATGAAGCTCAGGGCCCAGCAAGGGGTGGGCACTGCTGGCTCCTACAGCTCCTGGCCCCGTGAGCTGCCTTCCCTGCTGGCACGGCACGCTCGTTTGCCTGGCCCGGGAGAGCAAGAAGCTGCGGCAGAGGCGAGGGGAAGGAGCAACCGTTTCTGCTCACTGGCTTTCTCCCGCTGGGCAGCAGGAAGGGCCAGGGTGATCGCAGGGAAAGGAAGGAGAGGAGGAGGAGTTGACAGCATTACTCAGGGAGAAGCTACTGAGGACACGCTGCCTGAATCTGGGAGCTGGTATCGACCGGCTGTCTTTTCACAGACTAGTTAAATTTAATAAAATGTGCTTATTAGCAGAACCTAAATATAGGTGTCTTCTTTGGGGTGGGATGATGCTGGAAAGAAGTGTGAGATATCGCGTAATCTAATTAAAGGTGCTATTCATTGCTCGCAGGGAAGTCCAACGTTCAACCTTTTCTTCCCTATCTTCTGCTACAATCACACACCAAGAAAAAAAGGCTTAAATTGCCCCTTCCGAGAAGCCCTTGGAGGTGCCTTGAGGTGCTTAAAGCTTGCAGCTTGACTGGATGGGCTACACGAATCTTTTAGGGGCACATCTGCCAATGTGGCAAAACTTTCAGAACATGTACACCTTGAGGGCCATGCTTCCCCTCCCCAGACAACAAGACATTCCTCCAGAATTCAGCCTGTACCAAGCAAATTTGCTGAATGACACACAGCTGATACCAACAACAACAACAACAACGAAGTCTCGCCCTTCCGTTGGAAAAGCACAGGCTTTTCTTAACCTACGCCGATTCCAAGCCATTCCCAGAGGCATGCACATACCAGACTTCCAGACGTAATTTAATTCAGGGCTCCGTTCAGCCAGCTGGCAGTGGCAGCTTGAATGGCTTGAGTTGGCACAAAAGTGTATTGCAAAAGAAGCGGGGGGGGGGGGGGGGTAGGAAGAGGAAGAAATGCAACCCAAACCGCCAAGCAAACAAGAACAAGCAACAACACGCTACTAGTTAAACTTCAGTTGAGTATAAGGACAGAGAGAAAGGGAAGGAAGGAAGAAGGAAGGAAGGAAGGCCTTTGTCCGGAATAATTCCAAGAGTCTGAGGATACGGTGCCCTGGTGAGGTTTTCGAAGGGCAGAATTTGATCCTGGAGACGCAACACAGTCATGGTGTCTATTGTGAGACATCTGCCACATATTGTTATTCCCAGGCAGTTTTAGCCCAGGGAGATGCATTCCCTAAGCAGGCAGCACAGATGCCGCCTTTATCGAAGCTCTCCTTCCTGTCTGCGGGCCAAGAGATTACTGCTGCAAAGCACACAGATGCTCACCTGTGCTTCGGGCAGAAAAGAGACAGGAAAGTAGGTCCTTCCCTCGTGAGCTCTGTTTTGCATGGGACCCAGGAACGCTGGGGAGAAGAAATGGGGCCAGGGCTGAACGGGAGATGGGGCTCAGCAGATGAGTGAGGCCTAAGTAAGGCATGGCGTTAAAGGGGCTGTTTGCCCTTGCACGCTCATTAAAGTCCTTTAAAGTTGCAATGGGGTGAGGGATCATGGTGGAAAAGGGAGCTGGACAAGGGAGAGGCTGGCTGCAGGTTTTCAAGGGCTGCTGGACAGGATAACCACAAGAGCCCCCTCCCTCTTGCTGGCATGGTCACCAGCTGCTCTTGCTTTTCCTCCTCCTCCTCCTCCTCACTGCTGTCATGGCCACCACAGGCAGAGAAACAGGGAACCTCCTGCGCCTCCTTGGGGCCACCATGTGGCATGAGTGATGGGCAAGCAAGTGGGTTGCCAGGGTGATGGAGAGGACCATCACCTGGGAGAGCCTTTCGATGGGCCCCTGCTGCGGTGTGGACCCTCCACAGGTGCCTGTCCATGTACCTGACCCGTGATGCAGCTGACCCATGGCGTGGGGAATTAACCTTTTCTGCTCCCACTCTGCCTCTCCCCCAGTGCCCTCTGGCTGGAAGAGAAGCTGGCAACTCTGCAGCTCCCTCCTTTGGTGGCCAACCCTGACGCCTGGCTGCTATTTGAAGGGAGATGAAATGGGCATCTTGGCCCGGCACTGGCAGCCAACCTTCTAGCCAGGTGAGCTCAGAATATCCCGCAAGCTGTCATGATTACACAGCCGCCAAGGCAAGGGAGTGCTGAGCACGTGTCACATTTCCGCCGCACGTACGGCCACTGCCTGCAGAAGAACTGGACCTGCTGCAGGGCAGTGTGGGTGTTCTGAGCCATGCCAGCTCTGTTCCCAGGATATCTTGCACTGCGACCTGAAGAACGAGAACCTGCCGGCTATTTTAAGCCAATGGATGAGATCCAGCCCCTCCGTCTGTCTGTCCCACCAACAAACAGCACAATGCTTATTCTGTGTGCCCCCACCCCCAGCCGTGTATCTGTGAGGTTCTTCCTTTCAGTCAGATTCCTCGCAGCAGCTGCATCGATTACCAAGCTTTAGTGACTGACACTTCACCTCTCTGCAGTCAGCATGCGGGGGACACTCCGTGACATCACAGCTTACCCTGCTGAATGGGAATAGGCGGAATGTGTAATTTCTAAGTCTATCGCACTCTTTTTTTTTTGGTCTAATCAAAGAGAATGTTGCATGCCTGCTAACTAAGTTTAGGAGGGTAAATCATTTGCCTAGCTAACAGAACAAGACTTCTGGTGTTTAACATTTTCAGGCTATGGAAATGGTTTGGAAATCTGACGTGAAGCAGCATTTGAAGTATATGCATTTGTGAACTTGCGGTGTGTGTGTGCCTTTACCTTAGCTACTATTTTTAGAATGGCATTGTTGGCTAAAACTGGGAGAACATTAGGCAAAATGGGTTGGTAGATTTGAGGGCTCCTTACTTTTCTTTCTCCTTCTACCACCATGATCTGAACAACATAAAGCCTTAGGACAAAAATAACCCATTTCAAATTATTACAAGGGTTGCTTCGCCCATGCTCTGTGACAGCTGAGCATATGCAGAGTGCCCTTCTCAAGCCACTGAGGGACTGGACCCAGTACCAATGGAGGCAAGAGTTATAAGCTAGTCAACTTGAACACTAGTCTGTGTGTGTATGTTTAAAGCACACGGAAAGAAATTGGTCCAGGTTATTGTTGATGGTGGTGGTGATGATGGAAGAAGCACTTAAAGGAAGACACCAAGCACCATGGCTAATTATTTTTATCCAGGCCGTGTTCACAGCGAAGCAGTCATGGAAACCCTTGCGAAATCTGCTTTCATGGTTTGGAGGAGGAGGAGGAGGAGGAGGAGGAGGAGGAGGCATCTGGAACAGAAAAGACTATGCCTTGCTGTTGATTTTTAATCAATTAGTGAGTGCTGACTGGGTTAAAAAAGCCAGGGTGGGAAGGATAAACTTAATGGCGAGATTTCCTTCTGGCATCGAAGAGTGGCTAAGTGTCAGTGAAAGCAAATGAAATGCCAGGCGGACACCTCAGCTCTGCCACTCACTTTGCAGCACAATCTGCTGCGTACCACCTGCTGTGCCAGCCACTGGCTCTGTCCATTCCTGCTCCCCCAGAACTGCACTTCTGCGATTTCTTCCCAAAAGTGATCCCAATAACTCCAGTAACTCTAAAGCATATTCTTATTCAAAACAAAACAAAACCCACTGCCATTGCTTTAGCTTGATTGGCTTGTTTAACTTTGAATTGATTAATCTGGGTTCAACGTAACATATTTGCTGATCTGGCTAGTCAGCTGAATAT